GCATAGAAATTTTGCCCTATTAAAGTTTATATTACTGCATGCCTGCATCGCCAAGGTATCGCCAACATGGTCATGCAGTTGGGCTGTTTTATGCCCTGAGATTTCCAGCCATTGCTTCTGTGCATGAAGAACACAATGAAAATTGTCTTCAGTGACACAAGTAATGCGAAAGATAATTGTTAATATACATTTTGTGCATGGATTTTGTAGTAACAGGATTCTTGATGAAGTGTATCTCTGCTGAATGGAAGTACCCGTCATTTTTTCATGGAGTTATGCTTCGGCGCCCTTAGTATTAGTATGTTTTCTAATGCTTGACAGCAAGTGGACGCTGCAATACGGGGTTCTTGTCTGATCAAGTTCTTGGCATAGCTAACATCCATAACAGTGGTATGACTGAGCCATTTTATGTAGTAACACTTTGCTCGCAGGTTATCATGTCTGATAGAATGGACCAGGATTGGGTTGAGAGGTTTAAGCTAATATTAAAAGGGATCATGCCATGCATGCAGACTCAAGTAGTTTTGTTTAAATTTTGATAATTTGTTTGAATGGGAATATGGCATTCGTGTAATTCAGGTATTTTTAGTAAATTTTAACAAAAAAAAAATGTAAACAGGGAATTTTGGTAAAAATGAATATGATTATGGTAGAACCTAAAAGAAAAGGGGATGAAATAGGAATTAGGGTTGTGAAATGGGAGTGGCTGACATCCACAATGAGAATAGGAGTGAGTCAAACATTCAAATGACGAGAGGCTCAATTTGGAGCTCAGTATCTTAGGTCTTGTGTAATAGATGATGCCTAAAACATGATTGAACGGAACCACACCCCCTCCGTCCCTGTCGTACGTTTTGAGTCTTTGAAATTAATTCGAGGCAGAGAGTAAGCGGTTGCATTTATCACGTGTGCTATCCTTTTTGGTACGTTTTGGATTATTGCGATTGCCACCGCATAGGGTCATGGGGCTGGGCTGGCTTGCCTAGCTGTTAATAAGCTAACTATGACTCTAATCCCACCTATTCCAACCAACCTCCACTCGAGTATATGTATACACCGTATGTAGTGTAGTGTAGTACACCAAAGTTGTAGGAGAATGTTCTGCAGGGCAAAAAGAAACCCAGTCCAAAAGGAAGGGGGGGATTTGGAGGGGAGGGGAGGGGAGGGGTATTTTTGGAATTCAGGCTTTGTAGACAAAATGGGAAAGGCAGAAAAGCAGGCTTAAATTTAAATTTGTTTGTGCATGCAATGCATCTTCCCAATGCTTGGAGAAATTATTTAGGACCCGACAAGGGACAAGTCCACTTTTTCCTTTCTTTTCCCCTAATTTGACAATTCAAAAAAACAATTTCCTCCTACTCACTACTGTGGTCCGGACTCTGAGGAGAGAGGGCTCTTAAATTTCACAACCCCCGTCCTTCCCTTTTTTATTTCTTAGGGAATGAATGAGCCAATGGGTGTCAGATCTCGAAACATGTTCTTCCCAATTCATCAACTGTTTTGATGAAGTAAGCTTCTCTTTTTCATACAACCATTGTCTTGTTTCCTCACCACATCCAGTTCTAGTTGGCCCAGACTTGGTTTCCATTCGCAAAAATTATTGCTAAAGGAGCCGAAAAGGGGCACTCCGTTACATAATTTGATGCAACTCCATGGGTGTATGGTTAATTCTTCTTTGTGTCTCCCGCCCTCAATTCGGTTTCAACTTCACATCTCGTTTCTCTTTTATTCATTATATATATATATATATATATATGTTGTTGACTACATATATATCTTTCAAAAGTTAGTAGAGATTGCGTCATTTCTCTTGAATTGATCATAAGCCTTAATTAGTCTGCTTGACAAAACAAAACATAACTATATGATGGGGCCGATTAATTAGTTGGTTCCATTTAAACTTCAATCCTACTAATCATTATTTCCTAACATATATATATGACGGCTTTTCTATTTGTAGCATATTCTTTGCATTTTGGATAACAGGTAGCTATATATAGCAACTCTTTTTTTCTTTATTGACAATACCTCTTGTTATTTCATAATAGTCAACTTCAAATTAAATAATTAAATTTCTTAACTTGACAAGTTATCATTATCACAATATATATATACACATATACATGCTCACATGTACTCATGCATTTGTTTACAGTAATACTGAGATCTAGTTTTATTATGCTTTACAACGTTAATCTAAGAATCTTAGCTAGCAGTGTCACATGAGTACATGTGCATAATCAATGGCTTGGCAGATGATCTATATATCCATAGAAGTGACACATCTCAAAACTATCTATGACCTACACACTTTATCTATTTGTAGTCAAGGTTTTAAAAGGTAAACTTAAAGTACTATGCCCTTAGTTGAACCCCTCAGTCACCTTTAGACTTGGTTGCTTGTAACTTGTCAATGGAAATGCCTCATATCTTTGACTAGGAAGTTCTCACAGAGGTTACCGCGTACATGTACAATCATCATATACGTGTAATGTAATGCTTGAATAGTACTTGGGTCCTTTTGTTTGTGATTGATACAATAATAATGCCAAAGTTTAATTCTATACTATGTTACATCATGGGTGTTTGGGAATAGGCAAGTGAAACCCTAGCAAATGAATGATTGCTTTGTGCATGCGCGAGTGGGAGAAGAAATAGAATTATAACATTGATTCAATGAAAGTGACCAAAGTGTGTGTGTTGCATTTGTTATTAAAGAAGAGAGAGAGAGAGAGAGAGAGAGAGAGAGAGGGCGGGGGGGTGATCTAAGCAATTTGTCCCGCCGTCTGATATAGTTTGGAGGGTGTGATGCAGTAGAGTAGCTAATTAAATAAGAAAAACCCAGCCAAAGTTTGGTTCATGATTGATTGTACCAGATGAATCAGAAAGACAGTTTCAGACGCTATAGAAATTATGTGGTTTCAGCCCAAAACTCATTATTATTAACAAACCTGATACGCCTTTTATTGCATGATAGCTGTAGCTCTACTAATTTCTTCCTTTTTCTTTCCCCCTTTTGGTCTATGTTGTGAGAAGATTGTGTTCTCTTTTTCTATCCCTGTGAGAGAAGAAGAAGAAGAATATTGAGAAGAAAAAAAGAGGAAAATTAAAGAAGAATATTCACAAAACTCTTTATTGTCATCTATCCTTCAACCCAAACTAAAAACCATGTTCTAGTTGTTCAGTAATTAGACTGCTTGAAGATGTTGCATATATACTTATTTAGTTTGTTCAATCCTAATTAGACAGTTTTAACTTTTAGTAGTCATGCACTGGCGGAAATATATATGTACTTGGTTTAAATTTTTCTGAAGAACCTAGTTCTTGTCTAATCGCATTCTTTCCCCAAGCTCCAAAATGTACATCATGGTTTTAGAGTTATTTTCTACACAATCTAAGAAACCAAATCCAATAATATTCTTTCTAGCCACCAAAAGATATAATTTCATTGTAAAACCACACTGTGCACTAAAAAAATCAATTTATATATTTATGTACTTTTATGTGTGAAACATGAAAATTTAAGTAACAAACTAAAAGTAAACATAACAATTAGGTCATAGAGCTTTTATAATTTCCCTTTATACATGTTAATGAGCTTCAATTTAATTTAGGAAACCAAAATCACTTCCAATAATGTGAAATCACCTCCTGCTTTTAAAGATTCATGTTAAATTGAACTGCATAATATTAAATTTAAATATATTCAAAAATTATTATTAATACGAAAGTTCAATATTCGTCAGTGACAGTGACGTATTGAGCATATTGCATCTTGATATATATATATATATATATATATATATATGTATATTTATGAATAATGGTAAAAAGAGTTTGTGAACCTAGGCGCAGAATATGGAAATTTTGATTAACATGCACATGTCACTTTATGTGAATGATACAAGCAGCATTTATTCCAAATTGACAGCAAAAGAACAGCTAGATTTCTGATTTGCTTTACTTTTCATGTTTTTCTAAACAATTAGATGGTAACTTTAAATCCAATGTGAAAATTAGTAAGCATTATATGCAATTCATGCTTTAGCAAAAAATTGGTACTGATTTGCTTGAAGAAAGATGGCTTTATGTTGTTATTATATTTGTATGATGTAAACTCAGATTTTTATTTAATGCTTAGTAAAACTAGAGACTCCAGAATTATCACTGATCAACTTAACCAAATGCACCAAAAAGAAAATGAAAAAGGAAATCTATCGTCATGTGAAGCAAAACCATAATGAACAAGAATATGTATACATATATATATATATATAGTTCCGTAATCATTGAGAATAATTGATAATTACTTGCTTTTTTAGCTCATGTTAGCAGTAGTAAAAGAGGCAAAAAGGGTTAAGAGGAGTAGGGTTAGGGCAAGATCTTCTGAGAATGAGGTACAGGTTTTAAATGTGTTACTCAAACTTAATCGTAAAATGGTATTCGTACCAATCTTTGAAAAAGCCAAACAAAACCATCAGTACATCCTGGAAAAACAAACCCTATAGCAAAAAGCCCTAAAATTTCAGTGCTTGACATATGATATGTCATATGCAATTACAAATGTATGAACTCTAGAAATATGGCAAAGGCTGCTAGCTTCACTAGGGGCAATTCAATTCTTGACTCTAGCTAGAGTACTTGTGAGAAAAAGTGAAGAAAAATCTCAACCCTTGAATTGATATCCAGTGATCCAACTAGGTCCAAAATGTAGCCAATATTTTTCCATATATATTCCCCTTGCTTTCTCTCGTTCTAACCCCATAGTTATGACATATGGGTCATCAAGCTTCTTAAAGCTACAGAAACACCAAGGGAGGGTTTTCTTTTGCTAAAAACCAAACCCTTTAGCATAGGGCCTTTTATAGAAAGAAGGGTAAACTTTAATGTGTTATTATAATACGTGCAAACCACTTCAACAAGTCATTGGATAGTGTCTCCCTCTCTCTTCCTCATTCCTTTTTGAACAGAGAGAATTCAGAAGCTCCCTCACTCAATTGATGGATATCAATCAAACAATGCTCCCAAGTCACACTTGGAATCTTGAAATGTCCACGGAAGATCATATCCTTCATGACCAAGTTCCTTTGAATCCAATTTGGCCTGGCTACCCTCTTCAAACGCATCAAACACCATCCTCAACCTCCAGCCGAATACCTAGTGCAACAACTGTTTACAGAAACCAAATGGGTCAGCTTGTTGAAGAGGAAGAAGAGCCAGAAGAAGAGTTAAGCGCCATGAAAGAAATGTTGTACAAAATTGCGGCGATGCAGCCCGTGGACATAGATCCAGCAACTATCCGAAAGCCCAAGAGACGCAACGTGAGAATCAGTGATGACCCCCAGAGCGTGGCAGCGCGTCACAGGCGAGAGAGGATAAGCGAAAAGATGAGAATTCTGCAAAGACTCGTTCCAGGAGGCACGAAAATGGACACAGCTTCAATGCTAGATGAAGCCATCCGCTATGTCAAGTTTTTGAAGAGGCAGATTCGGCTGTTACAACCCAATAACCAGCAGCCACCATGCCATGTGAACTGGCAAGTTACTCCAAATAAACCTCTCGTTTCGACCTCCTCTACCTCCCTGGAGACACAGCAGGCAGGCCCTGAATTCACTTTCGGTGGAAACGGGGGAAACCCCTTGTGCTTTACTCATGAGGTAATTAGTGATTAATATCCCTAAATCAACATGTAATTGTTGTATTAATGATAATATTAGTGAAAAAGGGGTGTGTGTGTATATATATATATATATTAAGATTAAGATTATCACCTTTCAAAAAAAAAAAAAAGATTAAGATTATCAGATGTACTGCTATCTTAGGTGGTCAAGGGAGT